CAAGAGAATCACCTAAGCCCAGGAGTTGGAGGTTGCTGTGAGCTGTGTGTTGCTGCCACAGCACTCAACCAAGGGCGATGAAGTGAAACTCTATCTCTAAAAAAAGAAGAAAAAGAAGTGCTTAAAGTTTCTTCTGTTCTCTGAATTATGTCTTCTTTATTCTGAGGCTGGTTGAATTGTTTTATCTTGGTCCTTTTCTTTCATCCTGCTGGTTTTATTCAAATGTCTAGTGACTGTTATTTGGCTATTTGTATCCAAGAAGGCTGTCATGGGACTACTCTGCTGTGCTGTGTGTTGGTCTGTTTTCCTTGAACAGGGACAGGGAATGTCCACTGACAGGTCTCTTCTTTAGAGAGTATGGACAAGGACCTGGAAATTAGATGGGATCCTGCCAAATGCCAGGAAAAGGGGGCCTCTTCTTTAGGGTGACCTCTCTTTTCCTTAGCGTGGCCATAGGCTTATCTGTTTAACTTATGTTTTCCAATCTAGCTTTGGGTTTTTTTTGGTCATCTCTACTGTTTTATTGTTTTGTTTTTTTTTTAACAAGGGCTGTCCAGAAAGCATCCAGCCATGTCATATGAAAAAATAGAGATATAGGCTCAGCGCCCATAGCTCAGTGAGTAAGGTGCCAGCCAAATACACTGAGCCTGGCAGGTTCGAACCTGGCCCGGGCCAACTAAACAACAATGACAACTGCAACTAAAAAATAGCTGGGTGTTGTGGCAGGCTCCTGTAATCCCAGCTACTTGGGAGGCTGAGACAAAAAGAATCACTTAAGCCCAAGAGTTTGAGGTTGCTGTGAGCTGTGACACCACGGTACTCTACCCAGCACAGGATAGTGAGACTCTGTCTCAAAATAAAAAAAAAAGAAAAATAGAGATATGCATGGCTGGGTCGTTTTTGGATAGCCTTTGTGTATTTCATTATTTTTTATATTTTTGTCCTTACTGTTTCCTCCTCTGGTTTTTTTTTTTTTTTTTTTTTTTTTTGAGACAGAGTCTCACTCTACTGCCTGGGATAGAGTATAATGTCATCATAGCTCCTATAACTTCAAATGCCTAGGCTAAAGCAATCCTCCTGCCTCAGCCTCCTGAGTAGCTGGGTCTATAGTTGCACGCTACCATGCCCAGCTGATTTTTCTATTTTTTATAGAGACAGGGTCCCAGTGTATTGCTCAGGCTAGTCTCAAACTTCTGGCCTCAAGCGATCCTCCTTCATCGGTCTCCCAAAGTGCTAGGATTACAGGCATGAGCCACTGCACCCAGCCTCTATTCTTTATTCTGTCCATATCTGAATTCTTAAATTGAATGCTTCAACATTAATCAACTCTTACATCTACTTCCCTCCACCTGTTTCATTTTGAAGCTAATCCCAGATATCATATAATTTCTTTTATAAATATTCCAGAATGCATCTGTAAATATAAGAACACTTTCTCCTTTTTTCCCTTTTTTTTTTTTTTTGAT